AGTACCCCCCCCCCCCCGGCTCAGTACCCAGAGACAGAAGTTGCGTTGGCTTGATTTCGAGATACAGTAGAACTGAAATTAACCTCGATGGCTCGAATTCTGGTTCTTGTAACTCCACTCGTATGCCATCATCTTATTAGCTCTTCTTTTTATATAAATGTAAAAACACGAAAAATAACACTTGTCAACAATATGTCAATCTGATTTTAATTGTTGCAACGAAAGGATCACAATGTTTTAAAATAAAAATACCTTATCATGATCATGTTACCGCTTCTTAAGGAAAAAAGTGAAGTTTTCACTGCACTATACACTGAAGTGCTGAAAAATCAGCCACTTTCAATTTTTCAATCGAACTGTTCTAAATTTCGTTTCTCTTCAGAGATCGAGTTACCGGGGTTCTACTGTGAGAATAGTCGCATTGCAGCCGTCGTGCAAATTAAACCGAAGGCTGTTCCTGTGTTTATTGAACATGTATTAACTCCCACATAAAAAGAGAAAAAAATTAATAAAAATACCATGCTCGCACAGAACCTTTTCGCTGCATTATGGCAACAAAATACTTGTTTTAAATTTCTTTGACGAGTGGCAACCTTTTTTTCAGATTCATCACAATGGGTCATTGCCTTCAATTTCTCTTTTTAAGACTAATCTGTTTTCATTGAACAAAAAGCAGTCTGATTATTCATTAACATTGCAATATGGAGGTGAAAGTTGTATTAAACAAATGATGTTCTATTTTCTAGAAGGTGATTAAAAAAAGTGAAAAAAAGACAATGACTCATTGGACACGACACTCCTAAGTGCTGGATGTCAATAAAAAAGGAACAAATGTGACATTAATTTTCGTATGTTCAGGTTTACAGGTGTAAATCCTTTCTCATTTTTTGTAGTACAGAAGAGAGTTCGTTACGATTCACATCGTGATTATCAACAATGTATTCACAGCAAAAGGCGGAATTAGAGAAAGAGCTGGCGGATAGAGACGGGCTTTCAGTGGCTATAGAATCAGCAATAACTTTTATTAACCTATTCAGCGCCATCAGCGGAAATGTGTTGGTTTGTTGGACAATTATAAAATATCCACGCCTTAGAAACACCGCAAACATATTCATTGCATGTTTGTCGCTCTCCGATGTTCTCTTAGCAGCTCTGGGTTTTCCTCTAACTTTGGCTGTTTTACTAACCGGACGGTGGCCTTTTGACAAACCAGCGTGCACTTTTCAAGGATTTGTTTTCACCGTATTCGGCACATTTTCTCTTCTTATAGTGACCCCAACAGCAACTGCACGTTATTTCAAAGTGACTAGGCCGTCATTACACAAAAAAGTCTACATCAAGAGGAATATTGTCCTATTTATAAAAGCAGCATTCATTGTATCAACGATTTTCCCAACGTCTTTGATACCATACAACGGATTTTCATTCCATCCCGGAAAATTCATCTGTATTTATGACTGCGACAAGGTTAAAGCTCTTGGGTGTATTTGGATGGGAATATTTTTCACTGCAGCTTGCTACGGCCCAGTCGTGTTCTGTTACATTTGCATTTTTTATTCTGTCCGGCAACATAACATACAGTTAAAGAATTCAAGAGTGGAACGCAACGAAGAAACAAAGACACAGTTATATGAGGTGAAAGTTACAAAGTTTCTATTCACCATAGTCAAAGCATTTACGTGTTGCTGGTCTCCATTTGTTGTCATCGATAGCGTCGGTTTCTTTACTGGAAACTATTGGATGCCCCGTGAGTCTTACATGACGTATACATACCTAGCTGGTTATAGCTGCTCTGTCAATCCCTTAATATATGGAATATTTAACCCTCAACTCCGGCGGGAACTTGGTAAAATAGTGAGGTGTAGGACAAACAGACGAGTGAATATCCAACCACAATTTTAAGTATTGAACTTCCGGCAGAGCCAGGAGTTCACATTACAGAGGCGTCTGTATTACTGTCACACCTCCTTAATAAGGACATCAAAGGGACAGAGCCAAGTTTCCAATTACAGAGGTGTCTGTGTTACTGTCACACCTCCTCAATAACGACATTAAAGGGACAGAGCCAAGTGTCCACATTACAGAGGCGTCTGTGTTACTGTCACACCTCCTCAATAAGGACATTAAAGGGACAGAGCCAAGTGTCCACATTACAGAGGCGTCTGTGTTACTGTCACACCTCCTCAATAAGGACATTAAAGGGACAGAGCCAAGTGTCCACATTACAGAGGCGTCTGTGTTACTGTCACACCTCCTCAATAAGGACATTAAAGGGACAGAGCCAAGTGTCCACATTACAGAGGCGTCTGTGTTACTGTCACACCTCCT